TTGGTCAGTGACCTTCCAAAGCCTTCGTTACCACCCAGGGCCTCTAGAGCACAGCACTGCTATGGGATATCACCACAGGAGCAATTGCTACTTCAGGTGGAAAACCTCATAAACCTCAAAAGCTATTACAATGCCTGGGTAAGGGGGATCTGTTTATCTTGCTGTCTGTGCACTTAGAGCGATGGCCCAAGCCTTGTCAAAAGAGCCAGGGCTGACAGGAAGCACATACACACCTCAGAGGCGGATGGTGTTTGATAGCTGGGATGCCATGGAAGATTTCACATTCTTCAGCTCTAATCTCTTATAACAAAATGTAATTCAAACCTAACCCTCGAGAAAATAAGTCAGCTCTGGTTAGTGTCATGCCATGTCCCATGTATCCATCAGTATTTGGTTTTGGTAGATTAGAGCTCTCATTTACCTATTTTCTGCTCAGTCAGCAGTGCTTTGTTTTAGCTGATATTTTCAAAAAGGTGTTTATTTTTGCTGCTAGTCTAAGATGAGCCCTGTAATTGTCTGCGAAATGGAGAAGCACTCTGGGTTAATGTTTCTGTAGCTGTGATGCTCTCTGGAGGCAATGCCTGATGGTCACTGTTGCATGTTTTCCAAGGTGCTTTTTTCCATGTCTATTTTAAAAACAGTTGCATCGTATTTCAGTTACCTCTGTCCATCACTAACATGTTTTACTAAAAATGCCTTTCATGGAAAGCACAGACTTTTTGTCTCCTAGATGGATTAAGGGAAGTAGTAGTGTTTGCTATGAGAAGTATCATCTCTCTGCCTCAGTATTTTTATTTAATGTACGATTTGTGGCATATTTGGGGTCAGAGGTACGGTAACACCTTGTACCTACTAAGCAAAGTAAATAAAATATTTTAACTTTCACAGTTTCCCATCTTTTCAAGATAAACCAGGATAACTAGAACAAAGAGATAAGCGTAACTGCCTTCCCCCTTCTTCTCCTTGTCCTCTTGTCCTTTGCCACCCAAATATAACTGAGTGCAGCTGTGACCGTGCTGCTGTCTTCTCAGCACCCCCACCTACATATTTCCTGCTCTGAAAGATGCTCTGCTGGCTGCTTTACCATCCTCTTTTAGGATGTAATACCTGTTTAGTCCTGGGAAGACCTCAGCCCCTGCTGCAAGGTTCCCTGACATTTCTTCAGCTCCTTTCTCTTCTCTGGTTTTCCTCTCCTTCTTCCTCTTTTTCTTTCTGTCCTTTCACCCTCTTTCTTACCATCCCAGGCTTGCTCCTGGTGGACTCATGGATCATCTTTGACATCTTTCATTCTTTGCCTTTGCTCTGCCTGTTTATCCCTTGCTTCACACAGCCTTTTACAGACCAGGCTACTCAGAATTCCACCTCGCTCAAGGGAGATAGATGCAATTATTCAGGACATCTCTTTGGTTTTAATCTCTGCTATCTGGTTCTGGCTTTTTTCTAAGATGGGACACTGGTCTAGATGCCTCCTGGAGTTGAAACAGTGTGGGAAATCCCTGCATTGCCCGGGGGAGTGTTCAGCAGTTGAGCTTGGAATGTGCAATATTCCTTGGAAGTACAGGTCTGGCTCTACACAGGTTCTGTCTGGTCATTCACCTGGAAGGGAAACTAGTTCAGGAATGACCAGCACAAGACCTTTCAAAGCTGTGGTATCCCAGGACCTCTGTTTTCTGTTTGTTTACACCTTCAGTCCTGCTCTGATCCCTCCCTACAGTCATCTCTATGAGGACAGCTGGAGATCTGGTGGAATTGCCACCAAGGCACTTGATGCAAACACAATGATGTAGTGGATTAAGACTATTTACAATAACTGGTTACTTGTTTTTTATTGAAGCAGATGGAAAATGCAGTGATAAACATGTTGCTTGTAAACGGATTAAGAGAAATCACAAGGCATAATTCCAGTGAAACATCTGAGAAAAAGAGCAAACAAAAAAACCCAACACCCTCACCCCCCAAAACCATGATGGGCATAGTACTTTTGAAGCTGAGGACAGGAATTAGGGCAACTTAATTTTCTATGTTCAGGATCACAACTAAACTTTCAAGCCTCTCTGTGCATTTGTGCTGAGACTCATAGAACACCTCTGATGGAGGTCCATGAGTAGTATGGTAGTATAATAACTGTTCAAGATCCTTGTGAGCTCTTCCTGGACACAGAAGACCACAAAAGAGGCAGGGATGTCCTGTACACCGCTCTCTTCCTTTTCAGCAGTGTGCAGAGGTGGTGCCCTTCCACTATGAAAATGGGCTTCTGAAAGACCCTCTTTGGAGGCAGTGATCAAAGTTCACCTCTGAGCTATTCCATTTACCAGCAAAATCCAGAAAAGAAACTTGAATTTGTATTATTAATCTAACAGCATCATTATGAATGAACTGCAGGAAACAATGCATCTTCCTATATAAGCAAGTGTAAATAAAACTTCTGATGAAGCACTTTACTACACTGAATTCCTTATTCTTCTTTGAGATCATTCCAAAATTCAGTGTGCAGCTTAATCAACTTCATGCATTCTTTGAGTTGGACAAGTCAAAACTAACATGACCCTGCACAAGGGAAAGCTTCCCTCGCACGAGAAATCACATTCAGCTTATTTACTGTATGTGAAAACAGTCCCAGATCATTCCTTCCCTGAGGCAACAAGATCATTTCAGTGTTTCCTCAACCACCGCCAGCCTTCAACACTTCCCAGGAAGCAAGCCTTGCTCTCAGTATGGCCTTGGCTGCATGGTCATTAAAGGCGAGGTGAAGCTGTTGAAGCAAAATGACAAACCCCTCAACTTTAATGTTTGCAGCTGTAATAGAGTCACCAACTGTAAAGTATGGGGCTGTTTAACCTCTTTTTACCTCTCTTTTGTATCAATTATTGATCTCACTTTTATATATTAAGCTTTGGGCCCTGCTTTGGCAAAGAGTTGAGTACAGGATTACCTCCACCTGCAGGTTAGTGTGTTTAAATTAACATGGCTGTTTGCATGAGTTAAATAAATACATGTGTAAGCTGATATAATACTTTTAATTAAAAAGATAGTACATTATGTTGATACAGTGCTATGTGGGTGGTAGGATCTAAAGAAAAGGCAGAGAGCAGAGTTAAGCAATTCAGGTAGTGAATGAGATCTGCATTCAATGGGAGAAGTTTTGGGTAAGAAATAACTTTTTGGGAACATACACATGCCAGGCCTATATAGGGTTCCTTTTAAAATCAGAGTCCTTCCACAGTCATGACAGTTGGATCAGGGTTGAAAATCACCCAAAGGATTCTGGCTCTGTGCTCGGATATGATTCAGTTTCTTTAAAAACCTCATCTTTCAGAGTGACTGGGACCACTTCTGGGATGTGGTAAATTAAATCCTTTGTTATCTAAAGGCAGACACGGCAGGGGTTACAGCAGTGAAAACCACTCTTCGTTTCAGACCTTGTCACTAGATACTTTCTGCTTGGAGCAGGGGGGTAAAGAAGATGATGCGGAGACAGGTGTCTCCTGAGTGCTTGGGTCCAAGTACTCAGGTCCTGCTTTTGTTCCTGTTATCTTTGAATCAGGAGCAGCTGTCTGAGCAATACAAGCGCTTAGCCTTGCAAGAAACATCCACAGCTTTCTCTGGCATCAAGACAGCAAATCCTGCCTTTACTTACTTACTATTTGTACAAAGGAAAAGCAGTAATTACAATGGAATAAACATCTAAAACATCCTCTCAACAAAGAAAAACAAAAACAACCGGGGGGGGGGGGGAGATATCTGCTGTGCAGAACTCCTTTGCTTTAACTGAACAGAGGAATAAAGAGAACACACAAATGGCACCATGAGCAGAGAAATACCTTGGAGTTGAAAGTTAACAGCACACATGGCAGACCATGGTGACAGCAGATGCTGAGCAAGTCAGGGAAAACTTCTGACAAGTCCCAGAATTTCTCAAGTAAGAAAGAGTCCATCTATCGTGAGCTGCCTTCTGGGTGCTGGACAGCATATCAAAGGGATTAACACTTAATCATAGCTGCTTCATCTGTGGGGATCTGCAATATTTATGTATTTGTTTGTTTATTTTTGTATTCAGGTCTTTCTGTTGCAGATGGGAAACTGAGGTACAGAACAGTGAAGTGGCTTGTTCAAATGTTGCCTGTGGCAGAGCAGAAAATAGAAGGGGGGTTGCTGAAGTTCTTCTTACATCCTATGATTACTTCTGTGCTGTTTTAACAGAGGAGTTACGGTTTGTTACTTGCATATCCCTGACCTTTCTGTCTGGAATAATACATGAGTACAGTCTGTTGCTCATGTTTCCCTGATTTTTCTGTCTGTGAAATGAGGTTATTTATACTACAGGTGAAAGTGCTCGTAAGGCTGATTTGCACACCCTCATTTCCCTGGAGCCTTTCATACTTGTCGGAAGTTCTGTAATGATCAAAGGCAATACAACAGCCAAACACTTTGCAAAGACAACGTGGTTTTGCAGGTTTGCTCCCCTGGTCCTGGGCAGTTTAACCCTGAAAACAGGATATAGTACAACGGGCCAGACCTGATGCACTACTTTATTCAGGTTTGTTGTCGTTAATTTCATTTTTATGAATGGTGGGGAAGTAGCAGCCATACACAAGGATAAACAGCCGTCACAGCAGAGATGCTTTGAACTGTTCCGTTCCTTTGGGAGAGAGGTTTGAGATAAAGCCGAATCTGGCAAGCATCAGCGGTGATGTACCCGGGAGGCGCAGATCACCCCCACAGTTTTGGACCTCTCCGTCTCTTTTTGCCCTGCGGTGGGCACCCCCCATTTCCCCGTGCTCCCCGCGGCCGGGAGGGCACCGCCGGGGTTTGATGTCTCCTTACCCCCGCCGCACATCTGCCGCGACCCGTCCACATCTGGCCGCCGCCGCAGCCCCTCCTTGCCCCGCCCCGCCATGGGGCCGCATCTGCCGGCACATCTGGGCGGCGCGGCCCCTCCCCACGGGCACATCTGTCGACCGCGGGGGGCGGCCCTCCGCCGGGGCGGGAGGAGCGGCGGGTCGGCGCAGCCCCGCCGCCGGCCGGGGCGGGCAGAGCCGGCGCGGCGCGCAGGGGAGAGGCGGCCCGATGGGGCGGCCGGCCGGCAGCCTGGCCCCGCTCCGGCTGCTGCTGCTCCTGGCGCTGGGGCACGCCTGGACCTACCGGGAGGAGCCACAGGACGGCGACAGGTGGGTGTCCCCAGCCGCGGACCCCGCGCTCCCGATCCTGCTCGTTTCCCCCATCCATCACCTTTTCCTTTTTTTCCTTCCCTTTTTTTTTTTCATTTTAATAACCCGACTGCCCGCCTTGCAGGGAGGTTTGCTCCGAAAACAAAATCGCCACCACCCGGTACCCCTGCCTGAAACCCACGGGCGAACTTACCACCTGTTTCAGGTGAGCCCCGCGGCCGCGGAGGGCGAGGGTGCGAAGGGGAAGCCGCGAGGTACACGTGTGTCCATGGATCCGGAGATCGGGGCACACGCGTGGCTGTCACCAGGGGATCGGGACACACGTGTCGCTATGGACCGGGGAATCGGGATACACGCGTGGCAATGGACCAGGGGATCTGGACAAACGAGTGGCCAAGGACTAGGGTATCGGGACAAACGCGTGGCCGTCCCCGGGGGATCGGGGCACACACGTGGCAGAGGACCGGGGCTCCCTGCCCGCGGGGAAGGCGCTGCACCACCCCAGGGGAGAGCAGAGTGTTGATGTAGGTCGTAGGGACAGCCGCTGTGGCATCTGTTTGTCTGCCTCCTGCTCTGTGCTAACAGCCCCAGGCACTGCTGCCACCCCCATGAGCTGGAGTACCGGTAACTTGGTCACATTCCTCTGGTGTCCAGCATCTCCCTTAACAAGTCCTGCTGTCGCCCCAGGGAAAGGTTGTGGTAACTTGCGCATATGTCGCCTCAAAGACACGGGTGGAGAGGATATGTGTGGTTCTGATTGTGGTGTCCTGGCTATCAGTCACTGATACAGTAAGAGAGGCTTCCTCTGTTCTGGACGCCTAGGAGTGCCTTGGAGCTATAGCTGCATCAGTTGCAGGATAAACAGTGAGATCAATGGGATTTATGCCACCAGAAAGACATTTACTTTCAGGTAGATGAATCATTCTCTCAGAATGCGTAAGTTCTTCGGCCACCAGCTCTGGGGGAGACTTAGGCAGAGGCCTCCCAAATTAAGCAAGATGAATCCAACCATCAGTTTTCATTTTTCAGCTGTGCATTTGAGAAACATCATCTGTTTCTCAGAAGAATTTTAAAACTGTTATAATGATGACAACTGACCTGAACAGTTGACAGTAGTTGTACTTTTGGAGAAATACACACAATGTATGAGCACACATTTATCCCTTTGCAGATGTCCCCTGATTAGTCCCATCCCCACAGACGAGATGTCTCATTTATGAGAGCTGCCTCTTGTGAGGAACTCTGTGGAGGCGCCTGTGCTCTCTCTGCCTTGTGTGTATATGCCTGCGTGTGGCAGGGAGCCACTTAGATACCAAAAATACGATAAGGCACATTAACGCTTGTGGAAAGTGTTACAGAGATCATCCATTTCTTCCCAGAGTGCTTTCTGTTTGGCATAAGTACCAGCGAGCTGCAGACACACGATGCAGCAGTGTTGTCCCTCACTCATGCTTATTGCTGGTTCATGCCCTCTGGCAGCCACAGCCAGCTAGGAAGTTGTCATGCTGCTGCCCAGTTCTCAGCAGCAGTAGCATCCTTATGAACCCTGGGTAGGGCTCTGTGGGGACCGGAGACCACCCTTCCCTGCTTCCCTTACCTTCTCTCTCCTCTCCCTGTGAAGGTGAGGCAATGCTTGCTTATGAGCAGCATGCAGTGCTTTTTGGAGAGATGCAGTGTGTAGGTTTTGCAGGGAAGGGGAGTATTTGGTTAGACATGCAGCACATCTCTGGTTTGAGACCAGAGCACTGGGGTGAACAAGGTTGTGTTTCTTTCCTTTACTGAAGGAAAAAGCCATAGTAGGAGCTGCATAAAGCAGCATGCACATGACTAGTTACTGCATGTCCCCAAATCCATCTGAGCAAAAATTGGGTCTGCTTTGTGTGTAACGGATAAGGACTTCACAGCCTCCACCGACTGCTGCAGGCCACCGTGCAAAGAAAACAGGACTCTGTCCAGCTGCCAAGTCCTACTTGTACTTTCTTTCATCCTTGCTGAGGTATTTCTGACCTTTGGGCTCTTGTTCTGCTGAGCCTTCCCTCCCCCTCACAGCTCTCCCCCTGCACAAACCCGAGTTATTCACTGTCCCAAACCAGCACAGACTGTGAATGAGCATTTCCAAATCACTGCACTGAACTCTAGGTTGTTTTGGTTCATGTTTTCAAATCTTTTCTGTATCTATGGACACTGGCCTGACTTGCTTTAACAAATTAAAAAAAAAATCCATTTCTATTTCATCACGTGTTTTCCAGGTCTAACCTTTAGGGGGAAGTGAGGAGGGCTCCATCCCTCACCCTGTGAGCTACCTTTTGTGATGTCCATCTCTGCAATGGAAGCATGCAGCTCAGCAGAGCAGATCTGCATGCAGGGCATACCTGTCCTGCTGTGTGTAGCTGTTTCTGCCATCTGAGGTTTGCCATGCTCTATCTATTTAAGGGTTGGATTTCATGATCTTAAAGGTCTTTTCCAGCCTAGCTGATTCTATGATTCTATGATCATGGACCAGCAGCATCACCCATCCATGATGGTGAACCTCACGGAAAAAGCAGCATTGCTGTTGCTCCTGGTCTCGAGGTGTGCCTCCAGATGGTGTGTAGGATTAACCTTGGTGGAACACATTTTAATTTAAGATTCATGAACATGTGGAGGTTGAGGCTGTTAACAAGATGACAGGAAACTTGCAAGTGTTGACTAATCCTGTGGTGTCTTGGGGTGCATTTTGTTTTGTAGGACATTCAGGTACATTGGGATTCAGTCTTCACATCAGAAATAACTGCAAACATTTAAAACACTTCAGCTGAGTAGAAATTCAGCTGTGGTTTAGGGACCTTTGAGTCCAGGTTTCTAAGAAACTTGATTTTGGTGTTCTAATATAGATCCTTCCAAAATCTCATATTTCATGTTCCTGTACAGTTTTTTTCACAGTATTTCATAATGACAATATTTGTGAACAATATAGTCATTTAGATACATTGTTAGAGGTAGTTTAAAAGGATAAGTTAATGTCAGGTGCTGTTTACTATTAGCATACAGACCTGATTTGTTTTCTAGGCCTAAGTACCTTTTGTGTAGAAATTAAACAAACTGACACAACACATCAAGCATAAGGCAACATCCACCACTAGTAACAATCTGCTGTGCAATTAGTTAAATAAAAAAAAATATACCTTTGAAGTCAGATGTCAAAATTCCTGAGCTAAATTAGTTTTCCAAAGAGTAAATTCTTGACTGAAAGCAATTTCATCCTTTTATTCCTCCTGATGGAATTTTTCATGAAAATCAGCATGTTTGCAAAGCACTTTAATAAAAATAGCATCTTTTCATCACAAAAAAATATTTCTTGAAAATGATTTTTAACCAGATTTACTCATGAATAAAGATAAGCCAAATGGAGAGCCAAGCCAAAAGTGGGGCCAAGCACCAAGAACATATTGGCATTTTTCCCTGTGATCATAGCAACCTTGTATACAATTAGATGCCTTTTTCCTTTTTGAATCTATTCAGTCTGGCCCTTGGCTTAGTTTGATTTGTATTTTTTTAGATGTTTTCTGTATTTATTTTCATAAGAGTACAGAGGAACAGATGCAAAAAGCAGTGGATGCTTGTACAATATCTTTTCAGTGCAAATTTCATTTGAACTTTTGTATGTAACTCCACAAAGTACCCAGTCCCAGTGGCCTCATCATGTAGGTACAGAGAATAAATTCTGCAGATTTGTTGATAATGTAATAGTCCAATAAGACTTTAAATTCCGACTGCATGTAAAATTAATCAAATTTGATGAAATTTGGGCAGCATGAGACTATGAGGCCCCAATCACATTGCTGTCTTCTACTATTTGAATGCGATGATCTGTGTCATGCTCAGATAGATTTTGAAACAATCTGGTGGCCTGTTATACTGCATGAATGGAAGGACGGTACGGCCCGGCACAAGCAATCCAGGAGGTTCCTCGATTGTGTAGAAGACAACTTCCTTCTGCAAGTAACAGAGGAGCCAACAAGGAGAGGTGCCACGCTTGACCTCATGCTCACCAACAGGGAAGGGCTGGTTGGAAATGTGACACTCCAGGGCAGCCTTGGATGCAGCCATCACGAGATGGTCGAGTTCAAGATCCTCAGGACAGTGGGAAGAGCGTGCAGCAAGCTCACTGCCCTGGACTTCAAGAGAGCAGACTTTGGCTTCAGGAACCTGCTCAGGAAGGTTCCGTGGGATATAGCCCTAGAGGGCAGAGGGGCCCAAGACTGTTGATTGATATTCAAGGGTCACCTACTACAATCTCAGGAGTGTTGCATCCCAACTAGGAGGAAGTGCAGCAGGAGGGCCAGGAGACCTCCTTGGATGGATAAGGAGCTGCTGAGGAAAATTCAAATGAAAAAAGAGGCTTATAATAAGTGGAAGCAAGGACAGGTGGCATGGGAAAAGTACAGGGATGTTGTCCGAGAAGCTAGGGACCAGGTTAGGAAAGCTAAGGCTCAGTTAGAATTAAACTTGGCTAGAGGTATTAAAGATAACAGGAAGGGATTCTACAAGTACATAGCAAATAAAAAACAGACTAGGGAGAATTCAGGCCCCCTCAGGAAGCTCTCAGGGGAACTGGCTACACAGGATTTGGAGAAGGCTGAGGTTCTGAATGACTTCTTTACCTTAGTCTTCACTGGCAAAGGCTCTGACCAAACCACCCAAGTCTTGGAAAGCAGATGCAGGGACTGTGAGAATGAAGACCTTGCGCCCACTGTAGGAGAGAAACTGGTTCAAGACCGTCCTAAAAATCTGAATGTGCACAAGTCCATGGGACCTGATGAGATCCATCCGTGGGTCCTGAAGGAGCTGGCAAATGAAGTTGTTAAGCCACTGGCCATCATATTTGAGAAATCATGGCAGTCAGGTGAAGTTCCCGACAACTAGAAAAAGGGAAATATAACCCCCATTTTCAAGAAGGGGAAAACGGATGACCCAGGGAATTACAGACCAGTCAGTCTCACCTCTGTGCCTGGCAAAATCTTGGAGCAGATTCTCCTGGAAGGCATGCTAAGACACATGAAAATCAGCAAGGTGCTTGGTGACAGCCAGCATGGCTTCACTAAGGGGAAATCCTGCCTGACCAATTTGGTGGCCTTCTATGATGGGGCTACAGAACTGATGGACAGGGGTAGAGCAGTTGGCATCATCTACCTGGACCTGTGCAAAGTGTTCGACACTGTCCCA